TATAAGATATATATGTCTTGCGATCTTTGCATATCAAATACACTGAAATGGATGATAATTTTTTGAAACCCTACAAGATCGCCCGTATTTCTTAAAAAACTTTTCCAACTCGAGCCTTACAAATTTTCATAAGGAAAAATATACTCTTGACTTGCAATATAAAGAGTTCAAAATATCGTATCAGAAGAACGTATTCTAAAGTGTATCGATAAAAACTTAAGATGTAGGGCGTAAGGTTAAAAATCGCTTACTAAATCCATCGGAGATGTTCTAGAGTTAGCTATACAATGTTATATATACCTACGTCCCATATTATGTAACTGATATCTAAGATATTGGCAAAAGTTTGTGTTTGTGTTGACAAAAAGAGTCGAAGATGAATTACAGAGAGCCCGCATCTGGAGATAACTTTAGTATTAGCGAATTGAACTGCAATTGAAGCGAGTTTTATTCGTATAAGAGAGTAGGAAAAAGAGTTTGATCTTTTAAGATTTACGAAGAAGACAGCAATACGGTATTTGATAAAATGAAGAGGAGGTTGGGATAAAATGGAATTATTTTATAAACTTATAAAGAATCGTTAGGACGTCCCCTAACCCTTCGAGCTTTGGAGTCGTATAAACGTGTTCCCAGGGCTCCCTTAAAGCACCGTAGAGGGCTGATGGTGTGTTTAGCGGTTCTGGTCGGCTATACGATTTACCACACACCCCACGCACGACGTGGGCGTGCATTGGGCATTCACACCATCAGTAAAAGAAAGTATTATGAAAACATGATCCTTTGCTTTGAATTTTTTTTATGACCTGAACGTTATTGGTGATGGGTCTAGATAGTGATTAGGGCAGTAGAATGTAGGAGTAACCTAAGATTATATAACACTTAATTTTTTACTTTTCATCACTTTCAATAGTCGTAATCAATTTACATTTACACATTTACATTACATCGAACAGTTTCGCCATAGTAAAACAAAAAACCAAATCTAATAACAGATGGATACGAACGCACGAGACCACTACTACAAACTTATTTACATAACAATTTAACCCGGTAAGTCTTAGAGAATTTAGTCGGCTAATAGAATTTTAAGATCAATTTTAGATTTGAAGAAATTTACGACGTGTGCTTATTATATGAAATGACTAATTGGAGGTTGACCGCCTCTGTAGCCAAATGGTTAAACGTGTTGCCTTGCATTGCGTTAAGCGCGAGAGGTCCTGGGTTCGAATCCCAGGGAAACAAAAAATTGTTTCGGTCAGGCAAGGCACAGAAGTCTGATCAACTACTTGCCTGTTAAAGAATGGATCAGTGAAACGGACACAGAAATGTGTTCGCCCCGTGCCCCAAGGGGGGGAAACGGGATTTTAAACACAACCACAAATTGGAGGTTATAATTATTAAATAAATAAACATTAACAAATTTCTAAACCGTATTTTCAGTTGGCAGTAAAGCGAAGCCCAAGCCTGTCTATTACCATACGTGGTGTTTGATTGCATAGCACCTAATCTCCACTTCTTATGATTTTCCTTTGTGCTAGCTCCAGCAGTAAGCTGCACTTGCGACAAAGGGACCTCCTCAGTCCTCTGTGATCACTGGCGACCCCTTTGCAATGCGACTTTACCATTGTTCAAACGTCCTAGCTTAACATATTATGTCAGTATTTTTGTATCTTGTATGTTATATTCGTGTTTCAAGTAATGCTTTTTATTACAATCTATAATGTGACGCTTATCTGTAGACGCGTCGTTAGATGAAGTTTAGCCCTAAGTTATTTCTTTGTAATCAATTTAATTCGACTTCAAACTGGGTAGTAAAGTAAGTTAATAAATAAATATATACAATAATTAATGAACTGGTTGTATTATAACATCAATTATTATTTTTTCTGAAACATGTTTATGTTGAAGATGGTTTACAATCTGGATATTAAATGGCTGGTATAAATATCGAAGTGTCATCCTGGCCACGAACTACCTTCCACAGATGGAAATGCTGTGAGGTTAATGGCGTTTCAGTTTCGGCCTATCGACTTTCGAATGTCAAAAGCTAAAATAAATCGACATAGGCCCATCTTGTTCAGATGTTATAAGACTGGGGACTATTTCACCTTCCATCGAGTGAAGCAAGCAAGTCAGTAAAAATAATCAAAATACTCATCGATGACATCGATCGACGAAAACGAACGGCATCCCTGTTACTATTGAAATACTATTACATTATGATTAATTAAGTATGATATCTACTCATTATAAACGTGGTTAAAACAAATTTCATTATGTTAATTCTAAATTAAAATCGTTTATAAATTTAAAAAATGTACGACACGACTTGAAAACCGGCATCCATAGCGTATTTTTTTTTTCAATTTATAATGTGCAATAAAAAGTTTTTATATGTTAATTTTTTTTCAAGGTAAAAAATTTATTTTATATAAATATATACGCGCTTTTTCCCAGCGCTGGCCGCTTGCCCCAGGTTCATACTCGTCTGTCGTTAAAAGCTTAATCGAAAAAAAGTTAATTTTTACTACACAATTTAACCCACATCATTAATTTACATGAATTTATAATAAAAATGTGTATAATATTCTATTTGTGTAAAACTGAGGACCGACTCGAACGAGGCGGTTAGGCCGTTCTGCGTCGGGCGGGCAGCATTAGCGCAGTGTCGCATCTTCTGAGGGCGGCGAGATCAAAGGATAGGTACACAAGCCGCTCCCATTGATGTCGCGCACAAAGGGAATTGATTGTTGCAAACCTCTTTTTTACAAAAAGATACCTATAAAGAGGGATTGATCGCAAATCCTCTCTCTTTGTTGGAAATATTCATTTGTTATTTTGTTTCAGAGGGCACGCTTGTAATTATATTTCATAATGATATTGTACTATTTTTTGTACTTATAAAGAAATGTTGGTTTCTATGACTATTATTTATTTAAATAGTGATTTATTTCATGCGTCATGTAATAAGTAGCATGAGTTGGATAAACAGGGAACCGATTGTGTGCTCGGGATGTATATTTTTGATTAATAACAGGTCTTACTCTATTGTCTACTGATTTTAACATGTAATATAGGAAAATATACACAAATTATATATAATATCAACGATTTGCAAGTGACATTTTACATTTCTAAAATTATAATGTCATTTCTTGTAATTATCTTAAGAGTTTGGCAGTAACAAACAGTGAAAATTAAGAAAACCATTTTTAACATTCTTTGAACACCTGACACCAAAATATTGTATTGTTTATACAAAACAGTTGAAATATAAAGTCTAATACTACCCCATACCGTCACTCCTCTATTAAAGTTATTCTATTTTTATAATTAAGTATTGTTTTTAGTGATTTTGAATAAATATATGCAGTGTTAAATAAGTCAGAATAGAAATCATCATATAAGTATTAAGCTAACATTTGAACTGCCATTAATATTGTTTGACCTCAGACAATATGGTAAATATTTTGATTTTATATTATTAGAATAAAAGTATATTCATACAGTTTCCTACCAATGTACTTGATGGCTAGTTATAATTAGGTGTTAAATAATATTGGTAAATAATAGTAAACACATGCAAGATTGTTATTGTGTTTACATTGTATTATGTATACCTATAGACCTAACCCTAACCTAATGTTATGAAACTTAGAGAAACACGTACACATAAGCAAAAATGCGTTCTTCTGGCTAATTATAACGATCTTACGTAGAAAAATTTAGTACTTTTAGACATGAATCCAGTTCAAAAGAAGAATTCTTGAAATACACTGTTTCTGTACCTTACCTCATTGACACCTGAATTCTCGAGTGACTTTTATAACTTTCTCACAAAACTTTTAACTTTTGAGGGAGAACTTGAGCACTTTATAACTGAATGTAACGTGTGATTACTTAACATTGAATCTTTTCACTGTCTAAAACAACACTTTACAGTACTTTACGATAACAACCGAAACTTATTAAAAGACTGACATCGCTTTCGCCATGGTGATAAAACTTGAATGTTGACGCAAAGGTGCGCCATCTGGTATTGACAACTGGAAATCTTTCTTTTTTTTAAGATAGTGTATTAAATTGGGCTAAAGCCTACTGTCATCTACAGTCCAGTACCATAATTGTATTATGGTTAAATGGATATTCTTTTATTTGAAATTTAAAATAATGAAATGAAATTAAAATGAAGATTTAAAAGTCTGCGACTGTGATTTAAAGAACAATATCAAATCAACTAATCTCGCTTATACCTACATCTCTTGTCGCATTTGGAAAACACTGTTTGGAATCTGTATTCCAAGGTGGCGCTGATGACGTTTCTGTAACAAAAAATGTTATGGTAATTATTTTTCTTTTTCAATATGTGTGTTTTGTAAGATAATAAAAAAAATTAAATTAATTTCTAGGAATAAAAGACAATTTATTAATGATTGCTTTTCGACTGTATACAGATAAAGATAGATATAATTTTTACTGAATTCTAAGAAAATATAACTCAACTTGATTTTTTTTCTAATGATAACGTTATCATTGTAAATCTAATTACATTTTTAAGGATCTCTTTAGGAAATTTAAGAGGCAAATAAAACCAAAAAGTATTTTTTATTACACACAAATGAAGGATAAATTAACCTTAACCAAATATGGAATGTATTAACAAACAATTTACACAAATAATAAATATTTTTAACAATAATTAGTAAATGCTTAGTTCTAGCGAAGGCATGCGGTAACTATAACTTAAAACACTTATTAAAACATAGAAACATTTTCTATTTGGTTCGCTCAATAAAAAACAGTGTTGAATAATAACTCTTATGAATTTGAGATAAAAAATTTGGTACAAAACTTTTCTATATTCTTTCGTTGTTAATAATTTGATACTTTCACAGAAAGGACAATTTCTTAAGGCCCTAAGCACAGAGAACATCTTAAATAAGTCTTTTTCGCCTTTAGGTACAATTTGTAATTACTGTTATCAGTCTTACTCTAAAAGTCTACAACTTGCTGACGAGACCTCGGTCAAGCTCCATATTGGCTAATGCAAATATATTGTCTGGGTCTAAAGCTTGCTTAGCAGCAAACAGCAGCCGTCGACCAGTTTCGCTGACGGTTTGTGTGTACCATTTCTTTCGAAGTTTGCCAACACCATGGTGGTGTGATATGGAACCTGCAATACAAGAAAGCTAAAATGAGACTTGGTTTTATAATGTACACGTACAGAAGCTTAAATTACCTACATAATATATGTGTCAAATTTGTTTAATTTTATTTATAGCCAACTTTATCACACTTATGTGCTCTGCCCACCTAAGAGTACCCCCCGCATTCGAATAAAAGTCCTAAACCCAACATTTCGTATGCTTTGCAGCAGACATAGTCACGTTTTAAACTATTTCAATTGTTTTTATCAAATGTGTATTACTCGCGAAAACTAAGGCAATACTAAAATTCCCTTTCTCCCTGTAGGGACAGGGCGAAATATTTTCTGGGTTTGCTTCACTGATCTATTTTACTTATAAATTTAGACATTTTCACATAGCTCAAACATCTATTGTTCTCCGGTTGTCGAACCCATGACGTCTCCGACGTCAAGACCCTCATTTAACAATGAAGCTACGATCATGGCGGCCCTCTTACTACTACTACAATAAAATTAACCTCCACACGCGATTATCTCGTCTCTAGCGGCCTCTTCTATCTCCTCGTAGGTCCGCAATGCGTCTGCGCATCCCGCGCTATTGAACCCGAAGTAGAAGTATATACAACATCCGGCGTCGTACCTAAAATCAAATTGGTTTTAATTCCAGTGTATGAAGGTTAACTTGCATCTGTCTTTTCTCGTAAACTTACGTTTGAGTGAGTCGGCATGATATAAGGTAGTGTGTTACGTTCCTCTTACGGCATTCGGTAATAACGCGCCGTTTTGTGTTTCTACATAATGTTAGCGTTCTCTCCCAGGGCACGGACGTCTCGAATGATTCAGCCACAATATTGTACTCTAGAGCCAAATCCTGTCAAATATGCGTATACCTTTACATGCAAAACACAATCTTGATGATGTAAGAAAGTTATTTTGTAATCTAACCTTATTTTAACAAGCCTGTGAGTCTGTTAATATTACAATACTTTTAACCCAAAAGAATTATCTCATACTTAAAGAAAAACTTTCAAGACATATACGTATAGTTTATTTTTTCTAACATGGCAAAAAACTACAACAAATATGACCGATTTCAAACCATAGAGAATGGGTAAATGTGGTAAAATGGAAATATCCTCAACCCAGACCTCCATATTCAGTGTCTAAATGTCAAATTAAACAAATTTTAATCTGTCGCTTTGCGCAAGTTCATATTTAAGATATCTAATAATTTTAGCATAACATTGTGGCTTTTACTAAATGAAGTTGTGGTAGTTCATTAGTTTAATATACAATCTAGTGTCGCAAAGTGTTTAAGTGTGCATCGATGTAAACCTTTCGAGAAAATCAAGATTTCTTGCAAATTGTGTGCTTGTTTACCAAAAATGCCAAGTTAGAAAAAAATACACTATAAGTACATTTAAGAGGGCCTAAAACTAAATAAGTAACAATACTAAAATTACAGACAAGAATAAACTTACTCTAATGTAAGCTATGACAAAAGTAAGAGTATATCCGATTTCGCCATTCTTCGCGCCACCAGGAATACCCCCAAACCTCGCTGCGATGTTGTTCAGTTGAGTTTCCCTTTCCGTCACTTGTTCCAGATTCCCTTCCATCAACAGTGTGACTACGCACAATTTTAACGGATCGAAACCCTTGATTTTTGTAATGTACAGCTTCTTTAGACCGTCGAGGAGCACACCGCCCCAGGACGTTTCCATTTTGAGGGCATGTCCGAATCTGAACTGAAAGATTAAGGTTTAAATCAATAGTTCATATCGTTTAATTGAAGTATTTCATAGTAGGTAATAAAAAAATTCAAACTAATAAATATTTTTTCTTTGGTCCCGTGAGAAATCTCTCTTACTTCGTCATTATGTAAACACGAGTTGATGACGTCATCAGGAGATGTCAAGAAAAAGTAGTAAAATAATATAGACATACTTGTTCATTGTCCATAAGTCGTATACTTGATGGCTGAAGCCTCTGCCTGGCTACTTCTCTCTCGAAGTGGAATCCGCTCTCCCAATCCGGGAACACCAATGACCCATAGCGGACTATCGACGGGAGAGGACGAATCTTTAATGTAACCTGAGTCAAAAGATTAAAGGTCAATCGTATACACCTTGTACGAAGCTTGCGAAAGTTTATTGAATACAAGCTATGTCAGCGACTTCGTCTGCGTAGAATAGTTATTTTGGGTTATCCCAATTGGTTTTTGATGTAGAGGAGATCTTTATTAATTTAAGCAGTTGCGCACGACGTCCGTCGCGTCCCGGCGTTTTTGTAAGTTAATCTTTAAATATAGACATATTGTGTTGCTGACATTTTTTAGATCATTTAAAGAATTCTGTCTAACATATTTTTTGGGTATCTTAAACCGTTTTCTCAGTGTACACATCGGAAACCCACAAAATTCAATAATTTCCCCCGTTCTTTTTACATTTCCCGCTGTTTCTTCGCTTCTATTAGTCGCATCGCGTGGTAGTCATGTTTTATAGCTTAATGCCTTCCTCGATAAATGATCTAACCAATATTTTCCAATTCGAACCAAATTTAAAGTTGCTAAGAGTAGCACGTGCAAACAACCCTTCAGCTTGATATATTAGTAAAGATCTATAAATATCCTTCAGTAAATTACCTCCGTCACCACGCCGAGGCATCCTTCGGAGCCCATTACGATGTGTTCCCAGTCAGGTCCGCATGACATACGCGGAACGCAACAACTTTTCTCTATCACCCCTTTTGGTGTTACCACCTGTATATAAGATTATGACATTGGACTTTATAACGTAGTCACTTGAACGGTTTAAAACGCGATTGAAAATGATTTTTAACGTCGGGCCGAAGTTAAAGATCATTTTCAAATAGGTTTAACTTATATATCGCGTTTTAAACCGTTCAAGTGTTTTATTCAAATGTAGTCACAGTATTTTGACCTTGTGGTAGCAATATATGGCTAATAATCAACAGGTCGTGAGTTTGAACCCGGTTTAAAATTTTTGAATGTATAATTTTCTGGAGCATGTTGTATTTCGTCTGGAATTCTGGATATTAAATGGGTGGTAGGAATTCAGGAAAAAGCCGTGAAGCTTAATCGCGTTTCGGTTTCAGTATTGGATTTCCGAATATCCAAAGCCAAAATAGGTCGACAACGCATCGTGTTTAAATGCTATAGGCTAGGGTATCACCTACCATCAAGTGAGCTTCGTGCTTTTCTGTCCTCCTCTATTGTTAAAAAAATGTCGTAAATTCCCTAAATTAAATTTTGACTAATAAAGTAAGATATATATTTAGATCGGCCATTTTATTATTATGGAATTATATTCGAAAATTGATGCCAAAATTCATTCAATCTACTATATTATAAAAAAAAAACTTCAAGGAAGTCGTAATTTGTATAACCTACTTTGATTTTTTCTCAAAATTTCTCGTTAGGCAAGTGAGGAAAAAATAAGCATGTGGTATTTTTAGACGACAAAAGTACAAAGAAATAATTTATTTATGGTTTAACCAATGAATATAACCTTTTTGTTGTATTTGCGACTGCCATCTTTTTCGACATCCCGCCTAGTGAGTCATGTAGCTAAACCATAAATACAACTCTTGCACTAAATTAAACGTCGTTTTAAACTTTACCTTAGTTTGAACTATAAGATCCTCAATATTTCCATATGTGTTTTTCTTCATACCAGATGCTCTAGTCGCCACCCAGCCTCCCAGAGTTGAGAACTCGTAAGAGTCAGGTTCGTGACCGACTGTAAATCCTCTTGCGCGCATTTCACGTTCCAGATCCTGGCCCACTATCCCGGCCTGCGACAATCGACTTAAGACGTAAACAATATAAATATAATTTATGCTTGGTTCGGGTAAGTTACCTAGCGAAGGTACTTGTAAAACTTATTTACAATTTGAGGTTAGTAATAAGAAATAACTTTTCCGTATCGTCTGTAGTTTACGCGACATTCAAATAGAACGTGTTTTAAGGGTTTAAAAAGCGAAATTTATCAATTGACTTATTACATTTAAATAAAACTACTTTAACGCTTTAAAACGCGATATATATTAGTTTAAGTAATTTTAAACCGTTGAAGTGTTTTATTTAAATGTGTACTACTCGCATAAACTACAGCCAGTATTTAACTTGATACAATTTCGGATGCTTTTCAGCAGCTATGATACAGACTTCACATGGTAATTGAATATAACAATATTTCTTATTTATTTCTCTTTAAACTTATTTTTTCTTCTCTATATTTTTAACATAACTGAATAAATGCATCGCAATTTTAATGTCAGACGAACCATTTAAAAGAAGTAATGAGGAGTTCAAAGAAAAAGTAATATGGTACCTGAACCCTAGCCAACAGCTGTTCTCTATCTAGCCACAATATAGAGTTCATATCACTCGTGTCCAAAGCGACTATAGGTCGTGTTTCATGAGCTGGACAAGTGATAGAGCCAGACACAGACGTCCCACCACCAAAAGGTATAAGCACGAATTTGTACTTTGTGGCGCAATTCACGATTTGTTGGACCTGAAATTATTATCGTAAAAAATACCTTTTAATATTTCCTCTATTAGCAAATAGGTTGTTTTTTCTAGTATATTGCGTGAAACATATATCTAACAAAATAATCTACAGTCTCATTACTTATTTCTAGTTTACCTGTTCATGACTCTCCGGCCATATAACAGCGTCAGGTACCCTCTGGAATGAGTTGTTCCGCAAATGCGTCATGTCGTTCAGAGTCTGCCCATGCGCACGTATCAACCGATCCATTCCATCGACACTAACAAGAGTGACCTTTTCTAATTCCTCGCGAACTTCTTTCGGTAACCGACTCTCCGGATACACTGTGGGCGTTGGAGGAATCTTTGGAGGTTTCGAGATGTCCACGTCGAATTTTTCTCGCACCCATTGCACGAAGTGCGGTAACGACTTTCCGCCTATTAAATATCTAAAATCAGTCAATGAATTGTTTTATTTATATAAGTTTATTAATTTTAAACACTAAAGGAATGGCTAACATACATAAAAATGTCAGAACTAGCTTTTAAATAAAAGGTGGCGCTAAACAGTGATCTCTTCCATACAACCATAGGGACCATAACAAGAAAGAAAAGACTATAGGGAGGGAGAGCTAGAGAAAAACGTAGAAAATGTAGAAAAAAGGTTTTAAACGTACGGAAAGATTGAGCTTTTCTAATATTGTGCCATTTCCGTGTATTACATACGCACATACATACATTATACTGATGTCAAAAAGTAAACAATTAGTTTAAATGAAACACTTTAACGTTTTAAAACGCGATATATTAGTTAAAATTATTTGAAAATGAATTATAACTTCGGCCCAACGTTTCGGATGCTTTGCAGCAGCCGTGGTCACGTCGAGTGTCCCCGTGACCACGGCTGCTAAAGCGGCCGAAGTTATAATTCATTTTCAAATAAGTTTAACTAATATATCGCGTTTTAAACCGTTAAAGTGTTTTATTTAAATGTGTACTACTCGCGTAAACTATAGACAGTATTTAAAAAATTAGTTTTCAACTTGAAATTAGCTAATTAATTCTAAGATTAAACGGATGATAAATCCTAGAAATACAAATTTCATTCCTGAGTTGTTATTTAAGATGACAGTAAACACTGCAAGTGTCTGTATGTTTGCACTCTAGCCTTGTGCCTTTTAACTGCGCAAATATATAATCGTGCTAATAAGACCGTTCACGAATAGGGCTGAAGGTAAATAAAATGAGACATTTCGTTATCAAAGGATACGGGAATACTTTTGAAAAGATTTAACACGTCTTTCTTTGCGCTTCATTATAGAAGATGTTAGAGAAAGATTAAGATAGTGTTGAGTTTGCTGCACTTACTTTTGACATTATTATCTTACACTAAAAACTGCTTCTTCCTTATAGATATATAAAAGAGATAGAGAAAGATAAAAGAGCTGTCTTTTCCCTTTAGCTTTAGCCTCACTAGAATATTTTATTTGTTTATAGCTTTTTAAGTCTTTATACTTTAATATGATTAACATTTTTATAAATCTATATAAACTCTCCATCTGTTTTTATTTACGTATATAAGTAGTTATTGCGTAAATAAAATACATTACATGTATAATTCAAAATATTACTAACAGAATTCGTTTTAATAGGCTATAGAAAGGGGGCTAGCTCCCATTCTAAATAACAACTTATTTAATACACAATGCGAAATGGTTAGGTTGTAGTTTGTATCGCAGGCATTCAACATAAGATATGTATAATTTAAAAATCGAAAATAAATTGAAAAAAATTCGACTCGGGCAGGACTTGAACCGGCATCGTCAGCGTTCTGTGCTGTTGTTCTACCAATTGAGCTACCGACACCTCATCGAATTTTTTCAACTTATTGATATATGCACCTATCACGCAATGTAATTTCTAAATTATATAGTGCCTTCATGTGCAATAACATGTAAAAATTAATAAAGTTTTCAAAAATAAGATATGTGTAACAATGAAAACAAAAAATAAAATATAATCGTATAAGGGGTTTGTAAAAATATAACAAACGACTCCACTCGATTAGCATCATAGAATTCGCAATACGAGCGATCAAGCAGAATGCAATTCACTGGTGTGTAATTTGATGAAAATTTAAATTTACCTGGTCCCGGTGAAAGTAGCGACTTGGTCCTTCAGTTTGAACATGGAGTCTTTGTAGCCCCAACCGTACCATTTTAACAAGTCTTGTCTGAAACAAAAAGAAGAATACATAGATATGTTTATTGTTTCTACGTCTATGACAGAGGACAGACGAGCATAGGGCTCACTAAATGGTAGGTGAAATAACACAACCATATGACATCTAAGCAAAATGCGTAGTCGACCTATTTGTGACATTGGATATTCGGAAATCCACAAACTGCAACCGAAACGCGATTAAATTTATCGGCTTTGTCATCTATGGACAGATGTTCGTGACATGGACGGAATTTCAATATTATATATACAGATTTCCGGGCGAGGTCCAACATGTGAAAAATTATAAATTTAATAGGATAATGCTCGGTGTGCATTGAATCCACGACCCTTTGATTATTAGCCAAACATTGTTATTACCAGACGATCACGTCAAATTACCGGATTCGTGTGTTGAACAAAGTGTCTTATAAACATGAATTTAGGAAGCTCAGAAGGAAACTTCGTTTATCTAATCGTGTATCTGAGATTCATTTATTTTGGAAAATCTTAGTTCAACTTCACACGAGGGCTGGGTCATGTTATCTTTTGCTATCAGTCATTTACTTGATATTACTTATCAGCAGGTAGTTACCGTAACGCACTTCCTTGTAAATTCCTAGGTTCTCAGAAACTTATCGTAAATATTTGCACGTGATTATAAATACTAAATCGCAACATTCTCTTTTTGAAAACGGATTATTAAAATATTTTTTTTTACTAAAGAATCTTGCCAGGACATGGGTATTACTAGCGAATTTATAATATTCAAAAAAAATTGAATACAATTAAGTATTTTTTGAATAGTACAAGTCGTTTTTAGACTTTATTAAAAGTATTTCTCTTATTTATTTTGCTTTCCCGATAAAGTAAAAAGAAGGCCGAGGATTATTGTATTAAATAATCATATAATAGTATTAATGTTAGAGCAACTAGATATTGATTTCAAAACAAATAAACCAATTGATGATACACGCCATATTATTATATTGAAGTTGTTTGTAAACTCTGCTATATTGTATTTAAACGATTCATATTGTTAATTTTTAAGGAATGTCTGAAAATTCAGGAAAATTGAACCTAATTATAACATTGCAATTTTCAGGATTACCATAGACAACAAACGATTGATATAGAGATTTTTAACACTAGAAGTATTATTGCTATGTTGGGTTTTTCTTTGCGAAAATTGTAAATATGGATAATATTATTTCATTAGTAGTTCATCTTTGAATTTTCTCAATTTACGAAATAAATAATGAATTCGCTACAACTCTAGCCAAGATTGCGCCTGTTTTAATCTTTTTCTTTGATCCGTGTATTTACGTATTTTTGATAATGTGTGTAATACAAGTAAAGTATTCAAAAGAGTTAATTAATCGTTGAATAAGCTCTTTTATTTAAAATAATGAGCATAATAGACAGTGAATAAGGAATTTCCTTTTATAAAGCAAGTTATCCTACGTACTGTGCTTACGGAATATTAGACTCCAGATTAATCCAGAATACTTTGAATTGAACGAGAGTCGAGACTGACTTAAAAAACCTATAACATTTCTTATTTAACTGAGGTGTATGACAAGGGAATATTTTTAGACCGTACAGAGCGGTGGTGTGCTTTGTTAATTATATCCAGAAAACTGGAGCGAGACACGGCACACTCTTAATTGACGCCTACATCCTAATTCTGTGCGAAATGACATAACTATTGTGCTATTTCATGCGAAATTAAAATATGAAAATGTCTTACCGTTTTCTAGGAATAGCACTTTTCACTTTAATCGCTGTGTCATAAGGGCTTTTCTTTATATTCTTTTCACTTAGATTTTTTTTACGCGGCACCGGTTCTGTTGTCGTCCGTAGGAGAGCCACATTTTCAGTCATATTTTTAATATTATTGGATAAAGCTGACATTCTCATTCAACGCGACGATTATGGATTTACGATAGACAACATTTAGCCCGATTTTTGAATTGCGCAGCCCGCCGCGCATGTGAGGAGACCACAAATGTCAATAATGCATGTATTGCGTTTAGCGACATCTCTGATTAGTATCGCCCACTTCTTCGAGAAACAATTTTGCCACATTAACTATATTCTTGAACAGGCTACAAAAAGGTTTTACTCCCGATAACATGAGGGTGAGAAAAATAAACATTCAATAAAGCGTTTTACATGTATAATTATGATTTTTATTTCGATTTGATTAAGTGTCTTTTAAGCAATCGCTGTAGCATGCTTGTGAAAAAAAAACACTTATACTATAAATTTATGAAATCATATTAGACTGTTTCTCATTTAGATGAGAGCTCGATATTTATTTAAAAAACAATAAAAGTATATATGAAAATAGGGGTTAATTATTATTAAATAATTCTATAAGTTACATTTTTGGTAAAGTATAGATTTTTTATATTAGAATAATGGAACGGTATCTATGGATCGGTGAGATAAAAGTAAACTCAAGTATAATGAGGAAGATCCACTAATTAGTTAAAGGAGAGTATCATAAGACAGGAAAACTTTGCACAAATTTGTCGGTAGATAACCTGACTAAAATAGTGGTTTTCGTCACCGAACTGAATGCAGTTTAGTCAAATTAGTGAATAAAAGGCTTTTGTTCAATTATTCTCATAGAAACAAATCCTCTTAAATTTTTATTTATAATTAGCAGCAGAGTGATTTAAATATTCAATTCAAACACGATTGTGATAAATTATCATAATTTATTTGCTTTTTATAAAAGTTGTACAAAATATAATAATAGTTACACATGGGCGCTAGTTACATTTAAAATTAAGCTAAAGCAAGGATTGTTGAAAGATATTACATTGAAGTCATAGATGGCGCTAGCAGTTGTTTTGATTTATTGCTTAACTTTTTTGTTTTTTGTTAATATGTTTCCCAATTTATAAATTTACATAACTTGCGTAATACTATGAGTACATATTTCCTATCAGTATAGTAAATGCTTTGAACAGTTCAAGATACATTTTAGTATATATAAAAAGCTATTGAAGAAACTACGTAGATACTACGCAATTTACCCCTAAGATAATTAACTTTGTAATATTTCTAAATTATATTTAAATGCAGTTGCGTAGAGGTAGAGACAAATTAGTGAGAATTTCAATTGTGAAAGTAATTTCTGCAAACATAAATGCGTTGACTTACATCTAATACATAAACTAAACTAAAAGTATAATACCTTTAAAGCTAAAATTATTCGATGATAATTTAAATTCGTATTGCAGTCTTCATTAAGTATTATCTGAAGCACCTAGAAATGTTACTTATGCTACATAGCCCTTATTTACACGTTTCGTGTCCTTATCATATCGAACTTCGATGTCTTTAAATTAGCCGCAACGTAAAGACGTGCGCGCGCGCATGTAATAGACGCAATCAAATGCGGCAAATTTGAAAGTATCTTTTACATCTTGAAATTATTAATTATATAAAATTTTTCGATCATTACTAGAATTTCAAGAAAAATCCAAGACAATCGTTATCATATTAATAATGAACAATGCAATTTTCAAATAAAATAATTCAAGAAACTTTGACATAAAGACAAATAAGTATTAGGAATTTTTCTGAGTGTTACGTAAATTCAATTGCAATTACGGTAATAACTTATGATACTCAGCAGCACTCTTATTCTTCTCTAGCACGTAAAACGATTTCGGTTTCCCGTTCCCGGAATAATACTTCCGGAAGGACGGCTTTTTAGCTGGCACATAATACGCCATAGCTTCGATAGAGTTGGGATGTCCTTTCGTCCATGTGGGAGTGCTTTCCACGTCTACTATGTTGTCGTCGTTGAGCCTCGCTTGGGGTCGGTTTTTGGCCAACTTATGTAATACTGGTAGGTTCCAGTGGTAGACGCGTGCTGGTTTACCGTTACTGTGCATTTGTAGGGGCAAAGTCCTGGCCGCGGCGGGCGCTGGGTCTATATTGCTGTAGTAGTTCATGTTTGGTGGTAACTTGATGACGTACATTCTTGAATCACCGGTGCTGTGGCGTCTACCCTGCTCGGCTAATCGCTTTCGATGGTGGGCAGCCGGTACACGCAGTTTCTTAAGCCCTAGAGAACTAAGTAACTCGTGAGTGGATGGCTCTTTGTCTTCCGTGAGGTTATTGTTTGATGCTGGTGCGGCGCATGTAGCTGCTACCGCTATTAGCAGGATTGCTGACCTGCAATTGAAAAAATACATATTTATAATATGAAAAAATATTTTAGGTAGGTTTGTTTGTTTGAACGCGCTAAGCTCAGGAATAAATAATTTTTGTGTTGGTTGGAGCATTTATCGATGAAAGCTTGAAAGCACCCTGCGATCAATAGAACCAAAATGTGGACAAAACAGAGAAAATTATTTATCTTTGAGGTTTTATCGTTGCCCTCCAAAAGCGGGTCAAGATACCCAAAAAGTATAGTTCAAAGAATGATTCCTCTTTGAACATTCTAAAAAATGTCTGCGACAACTATTTCTATCCTTTAAGACTAAATTGGTAGAAAGATGGTACGCAACCGACGTCTTGGGTAACAGGTTTGCGAAAACGAATTGATACCCGAAATACTACTAATTTACTATAGTATTCAACGCGAATGATGTCACGGGCACAGCTAGTTATTAATAATGACGTAATTAAAAAAGAAAGAAAAAGTATGAAATTAGAACAGTGTGTTAGTGAAAGAAGAAACTTGTGTAGAAAAAATCTTTACAACGATCTATCATCTTTAAACCACAACTGCTGCAGAGCATCCAAAACTCTAATATTTCACATTTACCCGTTCAGTATTTAATTTCTAAAGCTGTCGTCACTCTTAGCCACATTAATATTGCAATGTCTTGCTTGGCATCGAAATTTCTAAAGAATAAACATTTACACTATTCAGTAACAGGTTTCCAGCGTGAGGGGTCCATTGACGTGTTCCTCCTATTTGTTCAGCTCAAGGACCTCTTGTTTGCCTTGTTTTGTGTCTTTATGTCGCTGAAGCAATTAGCACATACGACAGCGACTAGAAAACGTTTAAAATTTATACTGTAAAGAAACTGAGTATAAATAAAAAAGGCGTAGAGTATGTGCCATGTATTTTGATATTCCCCTTCTTAGCAGTGGCTGAAGTGGTGTGAGTTATTAAAGGTTATGTCAATTTGATAACGTATATGTAATTTAAAAAACGAAATATATTAGTAAACTTATCTTTCAGTTAATTACCGCCTGCCTTCCAGCCAGGATGCTTATTAGCAGCGTTTTATACCGTTGATAGCGTTTTATTTAAATTATATAACTGTTCTGCAGCAAACTATATGTTATGTTTCATTTAAATTTTAATCGGCTTGTTGCCATGTATCCTACTAATATTATAAACGTGAAAGTTTGTATGTGTGGATGGATGTTTGTTACTCTTTCACGCAAAACCTACTGAATGGATTTCAATTAAACTTTCCAATAATATAGCTTATACATCAGAATAACATAGGCCACAATTTATAAAGATATTGTGTGAGCTGTCCAAAATATGACATTAAGTGTCAAGTAACTAGGAAAAAGACTATCTTTCAGCTATTCTGGCGAGCGCTACCGTAAACGTTAGTTACACATAATTATGTAATGTATGATATGACAGACATCATTTAGTTTAAATGCGCGATACCATGTAATCCTAATCCTAATCCTGTGTAGACGAGGTCCTGGGTTCGACTCCAACATTTTTTTATCCTTTAATAATTGTTCGGAATGAACTTCGTCTGAATCGACATTCCGTTCGGGTCACGAACCGCCCTCCACAGATTAATAAGCCGTTAAGTTAATTCGCGTTTTGGTTTCAATCTGTGGATTTCGAGATCCAAAGCCAAAATAGGTCGCTTGTGCATCTTGCTTAGATATTATATGCCTTGGGCATTTGATAATAAAAAAAATATCTCCTATAGTGCAAAATTAATCTATTGATATATTTTCAAATACTATAAAATAACCGCTATATATGCATGGCGATATTCTCCATTCAAGTAAAAGCTTTATTAGTTTAGACTATAGAAGATATGTGTGTAGTTAAAATACCGTAATTCGTCGAGTGCTGACGGTTTAAACTTTAAATGGTTGTATTAATAGTAGTAAATTACTATGGGACGTAAACCTAAAAGCGCAACACTAAACTTAGCAAACAGGAAACCCACCTAACTGTGTAAGACCGTCTGCGAATTTGCGAAGAGATATGAAGGTCAAACTGAATGATGACAAAACAACAATATAAAACACTTTAACGGTTTAAAAGGTGATATTTTACTTTTTTTTAAGTAAACCTAAAAATATTATAACTAGCCCGGCTTCTGTCGGGCCGCAGTTAAAATACGAATGTACATATATTGTACTACTCGCGTAAACTACACAAAATGTATTAAACAATATCAGGTACCATTGTCTATTTTAGTAAAGCTTATTTTCATTTTTTTTTTAACTACGAAGTTGCAAATGTTTTGCAGAAGGCGTGATCGCGCGGGCCTTAAGATGGAGGGTATCCCGAATGTCAAAGTTAAAACTGCTAAATATCAACTACGAACGGTACGGTGCCGCTAGCGTAGCAGGCTGTAGTTAATAAATTGTAAATAACTTTAGCTACTAAATTTCGCATTTTAAGCCGTTAAAGGTGTTTTATTAAAAGTACATTAATAACTAACTCTTTTTAACTAGGACTTCTTAAATGCGTATTGACACAGGTCCTGGAATTTTTTTATAAATTTTACATGCGCTTTCTTCTTTGTTACCCATAAATCTGTTTTAAGTAAATTAGGATGGAAGCAGGTGTGGGTGGGCCCTAATATGTGACCGCTTGACCTCGACTGGTGGGTCAAATCGAGGGGTCAATGCACTAAGAGCGCTATGTCGCATGCGCCATGCACAAAATACACTTTCGTAATCGCGCACTTTGACGGACACGTTTTATTGTTGACGTTTCCCGCGCTTTTCGAAGTACATAATATGAGGGTGATCTGATGAGCTACAAAATTGAAATTGGTACCTCGACCTATCTTTTACTTTAATATATTGTAATAAACAAAAAGTAGGTTTGAAATAAGCCAAAAAATTAAAAACGATCTCGGTCTGCCACAATACTAGAAAATTACGACATTCTTTCTTTAGTTGTTAATCTTGTATTGGTTTTTAAACAAACAAGAGATTTTTCTTCAAAACACCGTGATAAATAAGCCTTTATTCTATAGAACATTATAAAGCATAATGATTAAACTACACTTGATAAAATAAATACTAAAATTATATCGTAATGTGATTATGTTATTTAAAAGATATTATAAGCATTTTCTTTTGATCTTGTGTTGTTATAACAGCGCCTTACAACTTGATAGTTTTCGTTTATTGTGACGTCACGTGTAATCTGAGAATCATATTAAAAGTGCAAGTTGAATATTAACCTAGCGTGATTCCTTGACTTTCTATTACGACCGCAGTGTATCGATTTATTTGCGTGTGATGTTATTACTCATTTGAATGTTATCAATGACAAACCAGCAAGTTTCCCGCTACATTAAAAATTTACCACTGACGGGATCAGTGGAGTAAAATAATCGTTTTTTTTTATATCTATCGATTATTGATTAATTATTTCATAGCAGTTCAACATAGTTTTTTATGCAAACACTTTTGTCGGTTTATTTTTTAATATGTTTTATTTCATATTACTTGCGGACACTACAATATTAAAACTACTTATTTGATACTTTTGTTTATGTTATTCCTAAAAAAACATTATACGTGAGCAGAGACAGATTAAAGATATAGCGAGGGAGATAAATATATAGCAAGTTCATTAATTCACTAACGAAATAAATTTTATTTTTACTACGTAAATTATTCTTTTGTTTAACACTCAAGAAAAATGCCATTAGTTGAAGGTACACCGAATAAAAAAAAATGGTTTTAACTCACATTTATCATCATATATTAATCAACATATAAACATTATTATCTATTTATAAATAAATACTTAAAACGAAAATGTATCTCCCAAAATAAATCACTTTTCTCTGAATAATAACACGCTTGTTAACATTTTAGGTGGATTGCTAGTCACGCGACAAGTGACACGCCATTTTGTCGCTGTAAATAATAATGATTACTGCATTAACGTGCTATTCAGAGCATTCTAACATTACACGAATGGCCGCTAAATTTAAGATAATTCCGATGTTTATTTTAATAAACACGCATGAGAACAAACACTGTAATGAGAATCACGAAGTCTGCGGTTAGGTAGAAATAAAACGTCATAAAACGAAGATATGTTCTTGACGATGGTATGATAACAAAACACTGACGATTCAAAAATACACCTACCTACTCCGTTAAATGTTCAAAGAAATAAAGACACAAACAAAAAGACGTAATTATTAAATTGTGTTATGTTAGTGTTGTCTCGCGCAGGTAATTAAGAAAATACCCCATAAATCCTGCGCCATGTAGACCTATTCTGTCGACATTTTAATAAATTGCCGTAGTTAGGACGCCATATAAATGCATAACCACATTCCTGGTTCCCGGGGAAAATTAATTTCACCAAGAGCAAAGTGTAAGGATTCATTCAACTTAGATTGGCGAGAGACCGCAAGATAGATGTTTGAATTGCTAAAAAGTTTTATTTCCAATCTGGAAACACATTTATTTTAATTAAATAATACGTTTGAATTGTAAGGATATCTTCGCTAGCATAGACAAATCAAATCTTTAAAATTTTACACAGAAAAGACCAAAACATTCACTTATTTGCCTCAGAATAAAAGAAAGGTTTAATTATTGTTCATCTTCAGTTATTTTAGTTATTCACATCAATGAAGTTGCTTTTGTCGAGGCTATATATAAATTTAACACTCGGTTTTAAAAATAGCAAGTATTTCTTAACAGAGTCAAGTAAAAATGGCAAACCAGCGGGCGCTGTCTGGAATTTTTAATGCTGGCTATGTTATGTGGATTCCGTGTAGTCACGGGACGAGAATTTAAAAAGAAGCTTCTCGACAGTCACGTACTTACAACGTCATTCATTGGATTCTGTAGAAATTCGTGATTTCTATTTTCAATCTATCCATGGATGCCTACTACGTTCCATATTTACTAACTTACTAACTTTTTATTACTTAACCTTAATTATTAGATATTGTATCTATTTACACGAGTTT